CAGGTTTTTGAATCGTGGAACAACGAGTACGGCACCAAAAGGTGATCTCGTGGACCCATGGTGCCTACCCTGCCTCCCCGCTGCTCGGCCGTGCCTTGTCTTTTTCCCTTGCTCGCTTCGTTGCTTGCTGCTCTTGGCGTCTGCCTGTGCGTGTGTCTTGCTTGCCTCTTGACTGAATGAATCACTCACAGGTTGGCCGATTGGCCTCTTCTCTCTGTCTGTGTGTCTGTGTGTGCGCGTGAGGTGAGGGAGAGGTTATTGCGTGGTGCTCTCACTACGGTGCGTTGATCGAGTAGGTTTCCCCTGAGTTGATTAAGTGTGCGGCTGGTGGTGGTGGCTGTCGCATTGTTCTACCCAGTTATAACAATGACATAAACATGATACACATGGGGGAGGGGGGGGGGAGGGTCTTGGGAGTCTTTTGGGGTCTTTGGGGTCTTGACGCATCCAACACATGACCGACCGATCGATCGACACACAGTCGACTGACTCACAAAAACACCAACCAGCTTGCCATGCCACTGACTGCCAGCACTCCATCCACACCATACACCTACACATGGCCTGCCTGCCTGCCTGCCAGCCGACAATGCATGGCCCGACATAAAAAGACCAACCAACTAACACCACACCCTAGCTCCATGCTTCATCTACCTATAGGTATCTACCTACCACACGTCCCGCCGTATGGATAATCCATCGGTCATGGCACGAAGGACATGACGGTGTCCCCTTCCTGGTAGGTGAGGTCCTTGATCTGGTCCTTGATGGCCTCGTGCGGCACCGACGCGTTCGGCCGCCGCAGGATGAACTCGTCCGCACCCGGGCCGCCGTAGAGCTGGTCGCCGAGGTTGTCGTCGAAATCCATAATGACGTCGTCGCCTGCACCAACACATCATAATGCACCACCACACACACGGTGTCACACACGCTAGGCCGGAAGATATGGTCCATCACCATCCCACCTGGCCCGCCATTGACAACGTCTGCGTCTGGGCCTCCGAACACGCCATCATCGCCTGGGCCACCCTCCTGCACACACAGACAGACACCACACAAGTGGGATGGATAGATGGATGGATGGATGGACCCGTGGTGGTGTTACTTACCACTGAGTCCGTCCCCTCTCCGCCGCCAAGAATGTCATCCCCAACGCCGCCCATCAACGTGTCATTCTGAACACATCACGAAACAACCATCCCCCCCATGAGCAGACGGACGGATGCATAGCCGATGGACGCTCAGACAAAGCCGTCCTCTCTCTCTCTCCCCCACTCACCCCTTCGTTGCCGAGTATAGTGTCGTTCCCCCGTCCGCCGGCGATGTTGTCTGCTCCCTCCCCGCCGAGGATGAGGTCCGCGCCCTTGTTGCCAAACATGACGTCATCCCCGCCGAAGCCGTACATGGTGTCATCGCCGCCCAGGCCTATCATCACGTCGTCCTTGTCGCTCCCGGCGAACCTCTTGTCGCCTCCCGTCGTCCCGATCTTGACGCTCAGCGGCGGGGTCTTCTGTTTCTTCTCCTCGGGCGGACCCATATCGCTGCCGGGCGGAGCTGCACACACACAAATGTGCCCATCCATCCATCCAGCCATCCGTTGGCCATCGACGTACCAGGCTCGATAATGACAATGTCCTCCTCGACCTCTACCGGCGGCGGCGTGTTGTCAATTCCCTCGCCCTCCTCGGGCGCCATGTCAGGCGGAATGGTGGGTTTTTCATCCTCACCCGATGCATCGTCATCCTCCACCGGCGAGATGGTCCCGTTGATGGCCACGCCCCGCAGTGAGGGAGAGTCCCACGGAGATCCAGGAGATCCGTCCACCAGGGGCAGCGCTAAGAGGCATAAGAGCACTACGGACATGACCATGGACGGCAGGGGAGAGGAGAAAGGGCTGGGGTGTAAACTTCCAGCTCGGACGCCTTCTTCCTCAAAGCCGAGGAGGCAAAACAGAGGGCAAAGATCCAGGAGAGGATGCAACGGATGCAGCAGACCTTCATGTGGCAGATCTGCATGCACCGCTGCCGATCCATCCGGTGAGTGACTTCTGCCAGAGAGAGCATCCATCATCCCATCGGCAATCAAGATGAGCAGCAGCAAGGACAAGGGTAGGCCAGAGCGCGTGTACATCAAGCGGCTCAACCTGCGCGGCTTCAAGACCTACGCCAAGGAGACCACCATCGAGTTCGACCCCACACTCAACACCATCGGTGAGTGGGATGAGTGGGACAGACATGCCGGGAGGCTGGGAACGTGCTGTTGTGCTGTGTGCTGTGCGCTGTGTGCGCGTGCTTCTCAGTTGGCTTGAATGGTTCCGGCAAGTCCAACTGCCTCCTCGGTGAGTGTGTGTGTATGTGCCGACACACACACACAAAGATGCTGCTGCTGTGTGCACGCATGATGGTGTTGTGTGTCAGCGTTGGAGGTGTGTTTGAGCTGGCGATCCTTCAGCGGCGAAGAGCGCAAGCAGATGGTCCACGTAAGGACGCAAAACCATGCGCACGTGGCTGTGTGTGTGTGTGTGTGTGGTGTAGGAGGGCACAGCCAAGTTGTTGACGGCGTACATCGAGGCCATATTCGACAACCGCAAGAAAAAGGACGGCACACGACCCATACTCGGGGTGAGTGAGGCGGTGGGCTGGGCAGGGTGGCGGCACCCGACACACAGGGGATGGATGGGATCTCTGTCTGTGTGTGTATGATGTGTGTTTGTCTGTCAGTTTGACAAGGACGAGGTGTCGCTGAAGAAGAGTGTGGGCGAGAAGAAGGAGGAGACCTTCGTCGACGGCAAAGTTGTCAAGTCAGCCACCACACCATACCACACACGCACACACACACACCAGAAGGGACGCCGACCTGACCTGACCTGCGCTATCCCATCCTATCCTTCAGCAAGAAGGAGTATGAGGAGATCCTCGAGAGCATGGGATTCTCCAAGTACGTCAGACCGACCGACCGACCGACCGACATTAATGTGTGCGCTGCATTGCCCCTCTCTCCCTCTCTCTCTCTCTGTGTGTGTGTGTGTGTGTGGTGCCTGCCTGGTTTGTTTGTGTCAGGTCCAACCCCTACTACATAGTGCGTCAGGGCAAGATATCGGAACTCACCACCATGGACGACGCCAAACGGTAGGTACACACACATCTGCACACACATATCAGCTGCACACAGACACAGGCGGACGAATGCTGCACATGTGTGTGTGTGTGTGTGTGTGTTGCTGTCAGTTTGGATCTGTTGCGTGAGGTGGCTGGCGTCCGGTCGTATGACGAGAAGCGCGGCAACGCCGACAACACACTCAACGAAGCTGGTGAGCTCGTTCATCCCTCCCCACCAAGCCACGCCATCCACAGACACACATACGCCTCTCTCTCTCTCTGTGTGTGTGTGTCTGTCTGTATGTGTGTGTGCAGATGAGCGTTTCCTGGGCATAAGCGAGAACATCGAGACGATCAACAGTCGTCTGAAGGAGCTGCAGCAGGACGAAAAGGAGCTCAAGGACTACAACGTCAAACACAGGACCAAACTCGCACTCGAATACACGCTCAACGGTACGAACCATCCCTCCCTCCCTCCCTCCCTGTGTGTGTCCATCCATCCATCCATCCACTTGTGTGTGTGTGTGTGTTTGGCTGTGTGGTTGTTTGCCCACAGAGAAGGAGTGGAGTCACGCCAACGCCAAAGTGTCGCTGCTCAGCAGTAAACTCAGGGTACATAGCTCTGCCACACAGCCCAGCCGCACTATCCATCCATCCCCCCACACCACACAGTTGGGTGCGGTGCGCGTGTGGTGTGATGGTATGTATGCTGTGTGGCATCTGGCCTGCCTCTGTGTGTGTCGATGTGATGTCGGTGGTGCAGGAGCTCGGCCAAGAGAGAGAGGAGAAAGAGCGAGAGGTACGGTACACACACCCACACCCCCACATCCACACAAATGCCCCTCTGTGTGACGTGTGTCATGTGTTGGTTGTTCCACCACGACAGCATCAGTCGGCCCGCTCGCGCATCGCCGACGAGCAGCGGAAGCTGGATGCCGCCACGGCAGAGCAGGAGGCCCTGGCCACGGAGCTCGAACAGCTGCAGAACAAGCTCGAGCAGGTCAGCTCGGTGGCTGGCTCAGGCACCCAACACACACAACACACACACACACACCCCTACCTGTGTGTGCGTGTGTTGTGTGTGTCAGGTGGTGCGTGACCACACCTCGAAGCAGCTGGAGTTGGGGGAGGCCAAGAAGAATCTCACCAGCACCAACTCCGCCAAACAAAGGTAACCAACCAGGCACACAGACACACACACGGGGTGGGGTGGCCATCCATCCCTCGGGATGGCTGTGGTGTGTGTGGTGTTTGTGCAGTCTGCGCACCGAGCTGCAGGAGCTGCAGCAGCAGATACAGACGGAGAGTAAGCCAGAGCCAGCAGCGACCGGCCCCCAACACACAAGACACACACACACACACACACTGCAACAAACGTTCCATGTGTGTGTCTGGTGCCTGCAGAGAGTGCGCTCGAGACCGACCTCAAGCCGAAAGCTATCGTGAGCCACACACTTACAGACACACACACACACATACAGCCACACACGCGCGCCCCTCTGTGTGTGTATGTCACTCAGGAGGCCGAGAGTGAGCACGGCGTCGAGGACCAGAAGCTCAACCAGCTCACCAGCGAACGGGACGCGGTACGCACCGACACACCTCAACGCATTTTGGTTCCCTCTTACTAACTCCACACACCCGTCCCGGCCATCCACTTCTCAGTTGCTGGCCAAGCAGGGGCGGAGCAAGCAATTCAACACGTAAGTGCCTGTTTGTGTCCATATGGGGGACACACACCAGGCGTCTCCCTCCATCCCTCCCTCCCTCCCTCCCTGTCTGTCTGTCTGTCTGTGTGCCTTTAGTGTTGGAGAGCGCAATGCCAAGTTGGATGCCGACATAGCCGACACGGAGCGGCGCATCAACGACGCCAAAAGAAACATACAGACCGCCAAGAACGAGGTGGGTCGGTCAAGGCGGTGTCAGCAGGTGCCACCATTCTCCCCCTATCTCTCTCTCTCTCTGTGTGTGTGTGTGTGTGCTCAGTTGGCGGCGTTAAGTAAGAAGGAGGAGGACTACGCCAAAGAGGAAGAGAAACAAAAGCAAGACAAAGACAAGGTACCGATCCGATCCACGCGCACTCACAGACACCCACACCTACACCCACATCTCTCTCTCTCTGTGTGTGTGTGTGTGTATACGTGTGTGTGTGTTTATCAGCTCAACAGAGACGAGGATCGTGCATCCGCCAAGAGGGGCAAGGCCAACACGGTCGGCACTCACACCCTCCCCCTCACCACCCCGCACACCCCAGACACACTTGCAATCCATTTGTGTGTGTGTGTGGGTAATAGGACATGGGTCAGTACAACGAGCGGAAGCGCGAGCTCGACAGAGAGATACACCAGCTGAGGCAGGTACGCCCAGACAGACAGACTCATCCGATGCGTGAGTGTGTGTGTTGCTGTGGGGTGTGTCCAGGACAAGGCGCTCAGAGACCGCGAGCGGCAGACTCTCAAACGTAGTAGACACACCACACCCACCACACACCCAGCCAGCCACACAACCACACCCCCCCTGTGCATACGTGTGTGTGGTGGCCATCTTTGTTTGTCAGAGGAGCTCGACCGTGACATGCCGCAGAACATCCGGTCGGGCAACCAAGGTAGAAACATCCGGCACTCACACACACAGAGACAATGACAGACAGAGAGACCTAATGCACGTAGCTGTCTGTCTGTCCGTCCGGTTCTGTATGTGTGTGTGTGTGTGTGTGTGTGTTGGTCAGCTGCTCGTGAGTGGTGTCGCAGCAACGGGGAGGAGGACAACTGCTACGGCACGCTGCTCGAAAACATTAAGGCACGCCCTCCACCATCCATCCATCCGTCCATCCATCCATCCATCCATTCGTTGTGTCCGGTGGTGAATGAACAGGTAGATGAGAACCTCGCCATCGCTGTCGAGGTACGCCTCTCGTGTGTGTGTGTGCGTGTGGGCATACCCCACCCACACACACGCCCCTATAATGTGTGCAGGTGGCTGCGGGCAACAACCTGTTCAACATGCTCGTCAGAGACGACCGCGTCAGTAGAGAGGAAGGAAGAATCCCATCAACACGCAAACACACGCACACATACAGACACACAGTCCCTCCCTGGCTGCCTGGCTGTGTGTGTGTGTGTTGATTTGATTTGATTTGGTGTGTTCGTTCAGGTAGCTTCTAACATAGTGGGCCACGTGCGCCGGCAGCGCAAAGGCAAAGTCGAATGCACGCCCATCGCCCGGATCAAGTAGCATGTCACCCTCCATCCCTCCCCCCCCCCCCC